CATCGTCGTCGCCACCATCGCCGCTGGGATCATCGCGCCCACTCTCGTCGACGTCGCCATGATGCCGCGCCCGCCCACGTCACCGACTCGCACTGGAGCGCCCGCGCGTCAGCGCGGCCTGCGAGGCGCGCCGGGGAATGCCCGGCAGTCAGCGCCACCGCGGTCGCGTCGGTCGTGCCACACTAGCTGGCCGCTGCGCGCGCGAGCATGCGCGGGCTAGCGCGGCCGTGGAGATGCATCGGCGATCGCCGAGTGCTCATCGCCATCGCCGCCGCGCGGGCTCTGCAAACGAGGTGGCGGGCGGGCGGGCGGGGTGGCTGCGCGCGCGGTGGAACTGGCAGCTTCAATCCTAATCCTTCCAAAATCCATCACCCTTCCTAAGCGGCGCAAGCCCCCCCCCCCCTGCACCGACTTAACGGGCCACCTCTTCGCGTTGCAGCTTGCGCGCGCCACTGCCGCATCGCCCAGCCTGAGTGAGTCCATGCCATCCCAGGCAGACGCCCGCGAACTGCCCCCCCTGCACCCCATGGACACATGCATGATGCGCGCGCACTCGCTCATCGCAAATCATGAGAGTGCACAGAGCTGGCGGACAACAAACGGCGAAAACACGCGCGCGTCGTCGCGCGCGCGTGCCGATATCCTTCGAACATCTTGAGTGTCACACGGATTCCCAAATCGAGTGTGCCGAATACATGTGTATATATATATATATATGCATGTGCGAGCCAAGGGTTTCCCAGCGCGTCTTAGCTTTCAGGTTAAAACAAAAGAATGCGCTTGCGCTCTCGCGAATTCTCCAGACAACCACCTTTAAACAAAAATGTTGAATATGATGCTATCTTTTCAACATTTACAACAAAAACGCGTTTCCATAAAATGCAACCAAGCGCGCCGCGCGCGCGTCGAAATCGCTCGAATGCCCTTGCGCGCGCGCCGTCGCCGTCGCAAGATCCCCCGGCGAAGAAGGGGCGACGCGCGCGCGCGCGTCGCCACGCGCGCGCGCAGAAATCCATCTGCAAACTTCGGGCGTCGCAAGGATAAGCACCGAGTGTCCCGAAACATAGAAACATGTGGTTTCGCACGTCGTATTTCAACCAAAAAACTTGCGCGCGCGCCTTCGAGAATCCTTGGGGGAACCGTAAGTTTTTCACTCTTGTCATCAAATGCCACCAGAAATGCCCCTCGCGCGCGCGTGTCGGAATAGTTCGAACGCCCTTGCGCGCACTGGGGGGCAAGGCCCGCGCCAAATAATGCCGCGCGGGCCACTCGCGCGCGCCGGCCGCGCGCTCGCGTCGAAAACCTCATCGCAACCTTCGTCGCCAACGCGAAGGTACCATCGTCGTCATCGGCGCGATTGGCATCGGCGTCGTTATTGCCCTTGCCGTCGTCATTGTCATCATCGTCACCAGTGTCGCTGCAATCATCTCCGCTCCTGCCGCGGTCGACGTCGCGGCGACGCCGCGACCGCCCGAGTCGCCGACTCGCGCTGAAGCGCCCGCGCGTCAGCGTGGCCTGCGAGAGACGCGCTGGGAAGTCCCGGCAGTCAGCGACACCGCGGCCGCGTCTGTCGCGCCAGACTAGCCGGCCGCTTTGCGCGCGAGACTGCGCGCTAGCGCGGCCCGCGCCGAGCCGTTCTCGCAATGGCCGCCGCATGGGTTTTGCAAACCAAGTTGCGGGCGGGCGGATGGGATGAATGCGCGCGCACTAGAATCGGTACCTCGGCGGGGTGAAATGCATCGCTTAAATTGCGCCGCGTCGGTTATACTTGGAATATTCTCCTTTCTAACAAATGCATGAGATTCGGCCCCTGCCCCCCCGCCCCCACCCCCACCCCGGCGGTTAACGGGTCGCCGTTTTCGCGCTGCTTTGCGCGAATGATTCTGCGCACTCGTCCATCCGAAATGTGAGCTCGGACCATCCGAGGCAGTTCGGCTACCCTCCCTCTCATTCTTTACAAAAAAAAAAAACTCATGCTTTTTGTCTGGCAAAGTGCACGCGCGCGTCGTCGCGCGCGCATGCCGTAATTTGGCAGAAATGAAGACGACAAAAATTTCGCATGAATTGTAGAATCGAATGCCCCGAATTGTTTTTAACGCGTGGTTTTGCAACGCGAGGCTTTAAAGAATACGCGCGCTCTCGAATTCTTAAGCAGACTGCCGGTTGTTTAACGCGTTCATCCATATGATACCTAAACGGGCCTCTTGGGCGCGCGTGCCGAAATCCTTCGAACGCCCTTGCGCGCGTGCTATGAGGCTACGACCCCTGTCAAGTAATGCCACGCGTGTCATTCGCGCGCGCGTCGGCGGCGCGCGCATGTCGAAATCCGTACCGCAACCATCATCACCAACGCGAGGACACCATCATCGTCGTCGGCGTGCTGAGCATCGGCGCCGTTTCGGCGTTGCCGTCGCCATCGTCACCACCTTCGTTTCAATCATCATCGCGTACGCCGTTGCCGACGTCGCCATGATACCGCGCCCGCTCGAGCCACCAACTCGCACTCATGCGCCCGCGCGTCAGTCTGGCCTGCGAGAGACGCGCTGGGAAGTCCGGGCAGTCAGCGCCACCGCGGCCGCGTCCGTCGCGCCAGACTAGCCGGCCGCTCTGCGCGCGAGCCTGCGCGCGCCAGCGCGGTCGCGGCGATGCGCCGGCCAGCGCCAAGCAGTCCGTGCAATCGCCCCCGCATGGGTTTTGCAAACCAAGTTGCGGGTGGGTGGGTGGGATGATTGCGCGAGCAGTGGAGTTTACAAGTCACTGCAAACCAAAACGAATTGCACGCGTAGCTTGCACCACCTAAGTTGCGCCGCGTACGTTGCACCACAGACACTGCACCATATTCACTGCACCAAATGTAATGCATTGCGTCGATTGCACTTCGCATATTCCTTCGCACATATGCTACGCAGCATGTATATATATATATATATATATATATATATATATATATATTGCACAACATGTATTGCACACCATAGATTGCACAACGTAGATTCCAACACATGAACTGCACCGCATCGAGTGCACAACATCTATTGTACGCCACTGGTTGGATGTGCTGATGTGACTGCCTGGCGGACCCATTGGGAATGCCCACGCAACGCGTCTGCCATTTCCGCCATCTCCTCCCTCTGCTCTTCCTTTTCCCCTCAAGACCTCCTGAAAGTGCGAATATACCTTGCGACTCACGGCGCTGGAACACAAGATCTGGGTCCCGTGTCTCGGCCGCATGCGCAGGACAGCCTTGCTGCGCTGCCATGGCTACGCCTGTTTTAGTTGATCTGCACTGGCCACTGGCCAAGGTCTCGCGTGTTGGCTCGCCTACTGCAGGCTGGCCCTCAGCTGATTCCAGGCCAGGCATGTGGTCGGGCACCAATGGTAGAATTGCCGAAAAGAAACATGGACCACATGGATTCTCCATTCTACAAACAGAAAAGGATCTACCCCCCCCCGGCGTTATCACTCCCCCTTTCGGGTATGTACATCGTATACGATTCTGACCACACGTCCATCCTAAACATGAAATCGCAAGGTCAAATGCCAACCGGTATCCCCCACGATGTTCCCTTTGTAAAAAAAAACCCTATGCGGTGTCATGCTTTGTTCTAACATAGCACTATTTCACGAATCCCTTGCAACACATGGGACGAAGTGCGCACGCGCGCGTCGTCGCGCGCGCATGCCGAAATCCTTCAAAAACCTTCAATGCCGGAAGGAATTCGCAATCGAGTTTCCAAAAATCATACAAAAACACAGGGCTTCGCAACACTGATTTGCTTAAAAAACTTCCGCGCGAGCTCTTGCGAAATCTTAAGAAAACAATGGGTTTTTCAAAATGTTCACAAAATGCTACCAAACGGGCTTCGCGCGCGCATGTCGAAATCTGTCGAACGCCCTTGCGCGTGTGCCGTCGCGAGAATCCTCTGCAAAAAACGGGCCGAAGTGCAGACGCGCGCGTCGTCGCGCGCGTATGCCGAAATCCTTGAGACCCATCGGTTTCGGAAGGATTTCAAAATCGTGTGTCCAAAAAACCTACAAAAACACAAGATTTCGCCACACGGATTTTCAACAAAAGCGTGCGCGCGCGCTCTTGCGTCGTCGTCGTCGTCGCCGTCCTCCCCCCTCCCGTGTCATCGTCGTCGTCGCCTACGTCGTCCTCTGTCTTTCCTCGTGTTCGTCGTCGTCGTCCTCTTTGGCGTCGTGGTCATTTCCGTCGTCGTTGTCGCCGTGATCGTCCTTCCTCCTCCTCCCTCGTCGTCGTCGTCGTCGTCGTCCGTCGTCGGCGTCTCGTCGTCGTCCCTCCTATTTCGTCGCCGTCGTCGTCGTCGTCGTCTTCCCTCGTCGTTGTCGTCGTCGGCGTCGCCGTCCTTCCTCCTTCTTCGTCGTTCGCGTCGTCGCCGTCCTCCCTCCTCCCTCGTCGTTGTCCTCGTTGTCGTCGTTGTCGCCGTCGTCGTCCTTCCTCCTCCCTCATCGTCGTCTTCGTCGTCGTCGGCGTCGCTGTCGTCGTCGAAGTCGTCGGAGTCGTCGTCGGTGTCGTCGTAGTCGTTGTCGTCGGTGTCGTCGTTGTCGGTCTGAAGAGGTTTTGCAAACCAAGTTGCGGGTGGATGGGTGGGATGTTTGCAAGAGCGCGGGATGTGTCAAATCATGGGTAAAAATCAATTGCACCACGTAGATTGCACCACGTCTAGAGCACAGCAGAGCTTGCACACCATGGACTCCAGGAGGCACACTGTTTGGGGCCCACGCTGGCCAGCATGGCTCGAAAGCCAGGGCTGGCCGAGGTTCGACGGCGCCTCGAGAAGCGCCAGTTACCAGCCTCGAACGTACCCCTATCCCTAACATTGACACGCCAAAAGGCGATGACAATCTTAGGGATTCGCCCTCCAAAAATAAGGGAATCCCTAAGATTGGCATCGTGATGAGGTGCCCAACACAGGGATAGGGATAGGTTCCAGGCGGGTTAGCCAGCGCGGCACGGTGCAGAAACGTCGTCCGCGGAGCCTTCTCGTCGGCGGTGCTCGTCCGCCGCCCGCCCGCGGGTGCACCACAGCCGCCGCCGCGGCCCGCGTCCGCGTGCCGCTGGGGCGAGCCGCCCTGCCGCTGGAGGGAGCGCAGGTGCTGGGACGCCGCCCCGGCGTGGCCCTCGTGCAGCTCCAGGGCCCTTCGGATCCGATCCTCTCGGATGGCGGCGGGTCCAGAGGGGGGGGCAGGGAGAGCGGGCAGGCCTTCTCCCCAGAAGGCGTCGGGGCCTGTCGAAGCCCTCAAGCCTTCTGAGATGCCGCCTCCGCCTGCGGAGAAGGCTCAGAACATTTCTCAGAAGCACGGGGGCCCTCCGAACCTTCTGAGAAGGCCCGCCCCCTCTGACTTACCCCCTGGGCTCGCCGCCGGTTTATGTTGCATCTGCGGAGGATATTGTCTGTCCCGTCGCGACCCTATCCACGTTTAAGCCGCGTCGAATCCTCGTCCACCCCACACCAAATCCGCGTCGAGCCCGCGTCGGGCACAAGAAAAGGCACCACTATTGGGGACAGACAAAGCCTTCCCAAGATGCAACGTAAGATCCTGGCTCACGTCTGGGAAGCGCTGCATCAGGTTGTGGACCTCGGCGCACGCAGAAGGCAATTGTACCGGGTGGCCGCATCTGAGCCCTGCCCCATGCAGGTCCGACTTCTAGAAAAACGACCAGGATTCAGAACCTGAAGGATGTCGTCTGCCATGCGAACCTCCAGCGGAGTGTCCGATACCCCAGCAACGATTGGAACCGCAAGGGCAGTGCTCGCACGCGGTCGCACATGTACAGAGAAGCCTGAAACAGTGGATGTTGGAAATTCAATTAAAGTGGGAGTGGCCAGTGCTAGGAAAACTGGCAGGGGCTGGAACAAACTCAAAACAAGTGGGACTTGGTCGCCACGGCTGGAAAAACGAAAGGAAACCGACCAGGGCTGGAAAGAGTGAAGGGCTGGCCCTGGCCACTTTTCCAGCTTCGCTGTGCACCACGATCACAATGCCTGGCCAAGGCCCAGGAGGCGGTGGACAAGAGCCTCCTGCGGACGGCGCGACGGAAACGTGTCCCGAGGGAAACTTCAGACGAAACTAGGACGAGGATACAATCTTGGACCCTGAAGGAATCCCCTGAGACCAGCTCTCCGCACCGAGGTTTTTGGTGGACAACCCCGGGGCCCATATGAGGGACCCTGGCCGAGAGCGGCGAGAAACCTCGGGACCCCTCTCCCCAGGACCCGTGTGTTCCGGACAAGTTAGGACGAGGCCAGGGCGAGGATAAAATCGGGGGGGGGGTAAAATCTAGAATCTCTGAGATCTGACGGTTCTGGAGGATGCCTGGGGCACCACGTCCTTCTCAGAGCGCTCGGGAACGCTCTGGGAGCGTTGCGGAACTCTCTGCGACGGCTTCATCCTCGTCATAGCCCCGCCCGACGGGGGTAATTATTATGGCCAGACGGCGGGGTTGGAAGAAAATAACTCCCGACGCCCCCCTGGAAGAAGGAAGCGTCAGCCTCCGGCTGGGCTCCTACGGTCGGGCCTAGGACAAAAAACATCTTTCGAGAACATCGGGCCCTCCGCCGGCCCAGACTGAAGAACATTCGAGGGTACCCTCCCCCAGGACGCACGAAAACATCCAACAACCTTTTTTTTGTCAGCGGCGAGGCGGAGAACTCCGCTCCAACGAGAAGCTAGATAGGGGCACTAACTATCGAATTGGCCGGCGAGCAAAGAAGGAAGAGGGGGACTGCCGAGAAAAAAAAAGGGACGCTCAGACGCCGAAGAATTCGATGATGAGCAGCCGGGGGGCAGCAGCAGCCAGGCGCGCAGGGCCAGAGCGCGGTGGGCGGCCGTGGCGAACCACGGTGGCAAGGGTGGCGGGGAGCGGCAGCCAGCGGCTGGGGCTGGCGGGGAGCACAGCGGAACACCGCGAACGACGTACCGCTACGCACCGAGGAGCAGGCACAGCTCTGAGCCGCGCGGGAGCGGGAGCAGCGGCCAGATGGCTTGCACCTTTCGGTGCTCCTCGCCGCCGCCCTTCGCGACGTACTTCCCGTGTGGGACGCTCGTCGCTCACTCACTGTCACCTGCGCTACTTCGGTGCTTCTCCGACGCACCACGCTGGACCGCCCAATGGGTCGCCTTGCGTTGCTACCCGGCTTCCGCACCCTTCGGTGCTCCTTTCCCGCGGCGGCCTCGCGCCGCCTCCTCCTGTTGCGATGCTGTTCCGCCCCGCCCCGGGCCCCGCTGCCTGCGGGCGCCCGGGGCGCTTTGCCTGCCACCTGCCCCTCCCCTCTCTGCCCTGTGGCCCCCTGGCGCGGCCTTGGGCGGTCGCCGCCACTCCCCTCTCTCTGCCAGCCTTTTGGCTGCGTTGCCACTTCCGGCTACCCCGCGTTTCCTCCCCCGCGTTGCTCTTCCGCCCCGCCGCCTGCGGGCGCATGGGACGCTTCGCCCGCTGCCTCCCGCCCTACCTCCCCCCGCCCCACGACCACCTGGTCT